CACTTTACAAAAAATCGGGGATCGGGTCACGTGGCAGTCCTCATACCTAACGCCGGCTAGGCATCTCTGGACTCACATGTAGGCTTCTAAGGCTACCGGTAGACCTGGAATCGATGCCATGTTTACTTTATTTCGTTTAAGATAATCCCGTACTGGCAGTTGAATCGTAGTTCTTACATTTTCATGGAATTTCACGTAGCCTTACTTCAAATAAACTACTCTCATCCAAGCCGGAGTGGACGATCATTTCGACCCTGCATAGGGACTCGAATCCGGACACGTTAAATACCAAATGCTACTTAGCAACGAAAATAAGTAATACAGTCGATTGCTTTGGCAAATACATCGTCATTTCAACTAAAATCCCACCAGAGAATGTGGTTAATCATAGTGGTTAATCTGCCAAGAGCATACAACCCAGGTTCAAGTCCCGCTGGGGGTATGGTTGAGACGAGTTTGGGTGAAGTCGAAATTGCAGTTTAGTCCAACCTTTTGGGAAGCAGGGTTGTATGCAAATTCAATAAAACACGTGATCTATTCATAGCCCTTTTGTCATCATACAACTCGTATATCTGATTTACTGGTAGTCTCGAAAACCTCTTCACGAAAAAGATTTCTTAGTAACTCGTGTTTGTCATTGCAATCGACTATGCTGTTAACTTTGGATTGAAGTAATTTTCGATATTATCACTATTAAAATTGTGTTAAATTATTCTCGGAATGTCATTGAAAAGGCTACACAATCGCTAAATCCAGCCTGATAGGTTAGGATTTCCATTTTTCTCCTCCGTCCCAAACAGTCTTGACTCATTGTTGGCCCTGGCAACCATCGCATGTGCTCCTGTTGCCAGTTGTATTGTGGACGTCAACATGTTCCACTTACCCTTGTGCATTCCGGTCACTTTGTCGCGCAAGATGAGCAGGTCGAAGATGGGCCCGAAGGCCTCGAAGAGAGGACGCAACTCCCGCTCCTGCATGCTGCGCGGAATCTGTCCCACGAACAGCTTGACACTGTCGACCCCTTTGATCAACCGGCCGTTGGCTCGGCCCCCGTGACCGCCGGCCGAGTTGGCCGCGGCCGGGCCGAGTGTAGTTCCGCCGACGTCCGAGTCCGCGGAGCCCTTGGCGCCGGTCTCCGGGTCGTCAGTCTCCAGGCGGTAGACGGCGAACTCACCGCCGCCAGAAAGTGGCCGGCCGGCCGAGTCAGTCGAGCGGAACGGCGAGAGAGTCGAGCCCGTCTCGTTTCGCGTGTGTGTCCGATTCGACCTTTGTCTCTCCTGCCTGTAGCATTGCGTGTGTCTTCTCGACTCGACCAACTCACAATACTCATCCTCTCCCAGACTCTCTTCGACCCTCTCGCCCTCGCCCTCGCCCTCGCCCTCGCCCTCACTCTCGCCTTCACCGTCGTCGCCTC